TAATGGTCAGCTATTTTGTTGACAATTGGGGCTGCATACGCAAGACTTAGTAAGACGGAGGAAATGGACAAAATGAGTGGTACTAAGCAAGAGAAACATCGTTGCACGCCCGTCATACCAGCGAGTTTGTTTGTACAGGCCTACTCAGCGACTCAACGCAGACAGTCGGCAACTTTGCCGATCCGTCTGGGGCTGGTTTGCGCATAGTTGCGCGTGCGGCGACTCTTCCGTTTGACACGTTTCCATTTGTTTGCGTTGCAGTTTGCGTCTTGATCGCGTTGCTCTCTGCGTTTCTCACGTCGATATGGAAACCAGGCTTCAGATTCAAACAGTGCTCATGTCTATTTCATGGTCATAAAACGTCAGCTTTACAGTGTATAGCTTTAATATATCATGGAGGAAGGACACAGGTGTTTGAACTGCACGGGCGATAACCTTGGGCCAATTGCCGCTTTCTGGCGTACCCAGTACGTCCATAGCCAGAGCGCAGTGAATGCTTGCTACGCACCACCTGTTTCACAACCAGAAGCCCCCTTAGCTAGCTTTGTACCGGGCCATGACCATCGCCGCAATTTTCGCTGGTAATCTGCGTGCTTGAAACGTTGTGCACTGCAGTATAGGAAGTTGAATATTCATGCCATCGTTGGTGCTTGGTATGATCTGACATCAAATTTAATGCTTGCGCAGTTGCTTATATTAGTCTATGTGCCCTAAGCGATCAGGTCCAATCATTGCCCTTGTCGAACGCTTTCTTTTCGAGTTTTTGTGAATAAATGGCCAAGTTGTTTATAAAATATTGTGTTTTATTTGAATCATTTTTATTACGGCAGTTATACAAAAATGTATCTCATGATCATTCCTTGTGATCAAATAGCGCATTTTGTTAAACTTAACTGTCCTGTGGTGGATAACATTTTGTTGGTCAATCTTAGCCAAATTCGAACAAAGGCCCTGAAAACTGACGTTTTGGAGTGACAAAATAAAATTACAAACATTGCGTGGGTAATGGAAAAGTAGGCCTACATCAAAATCTTCAAAAATATTATTCACGACGGCAAAAGTAAATCTAATGTTAGATATTTGTTCTTTCTATTTCCTGGTCACTGTGATAAGCTGTCGTTAATTGCAAAGAAAACACCACAAATATTGCTACGATATTACTGGCCCCACTTTTCCGGCTAAGCTACAGGCAGTCATCAGGTATTAATGGTTTACTATTATTCGTCTGATCGGGCGGCGATGATTATCGTGCACTTTGATGTGCCACAGTTGTAACTCCGGTGTCCTTCCTCCATGAATATATTAGCTGAATCATTAACGCCGGAGATCGCAAATAAAGGCATTCCAAGCACCCCTTGTTCAAATATCCAACGTTTTTACGCCTCACATTATTGGAACATTTCTAGAGGATACCCGGTAACAAATGTTGAAGAACAATTAAAGTACCGGGCATCTATACGATTACCCCAAACCTTTTCAGTAATTCTCTTCGAATCAGACATTTGCTCTCCATCTCGACATATTGGTAGTTGAACTTTTCACCTCGAACCTGTTGAGTTCCAGTTCCTGACGAAGTTGATACTGTATATACATCAAACCTGTTGGAAGTCCATGATGCGGAGTATGGATGTAAAATGCAATATCTCTGGGGAGGAGTCAGCTGTGATGGTTGCACAGCACCAAATACGCGCCCATAGAAAACAGTGCAAAATCGGACCGAAATAGCGCCGCCTGTTGACTCTCGTGAAGAGGTTGGCCTCCGTTTTTTTGCACTGGAAATTCAAGATTATGTCCAGAAGATCACTTTTCGTTTCAATTTCATGGGGGTTAGCCCCGAATTTTTTTAATTCCCCTTTGAAGAAAGATACCCCCAAAATAACAATAAAACTAAGCGCTCATTTCTGAATCTAACCGCCCGCCTCTATCCAAAATAGTTCCGCAATTTCGGGCTATTTGTGAAAGAAATATCCAGTCCTAAATTCGAGATCTATAGAAATATTTCTACGATGCTTCCTGATTATGGCATGTCTTATTGCAAAAACCCCGTGGGATCACAAAATATTAATGAGCTCGCGCGCAGAAATACAAGCATTTGGTGGAATGCACCCTGATAGATAGTGGAATGGACGCCTTTGAGACAATTGCGACGGCCATCTCAGTTCTTGACGTCGTTTTTTCTGAATCCCCTTTGCTTGGTTGTACTGTGGAAGTTTTATCCGGTCATTGCTGGCTGTTGGTGGAACTTTGTGCGTGTCATATATGGAGCGGCCAGCACGGATCACCTCCGAAGTATCGTTTACGCGTTGCCTGGAAAAAATGCTTTGCAACCCAACCGCATCCACCCCCAAGAACCTGGCTGCGACGTCCATGACCGATAGTTGTTACTACTTTGTTACTACTACGTTACTTGCTTTACTCATTTTGATTGTTTGTACTTCCAGGTTTTGTTAATTTTGCTGGTTTGACCTCCGAGGCTGAGATTCGTGTTTTTACCAGCTTGCTGCCGTTAGAGAGTCAAAGCACCTGTACTGAGCCTCGTGTGTTTAGCTTGACAAGCACAGATGGGTTCCTTTGCGTTGCAGAACAACAGCTGATGGAAATCTCTGTGATGGTGAATGGTATTTGAACATAATGAACTATAATGGTTGAATGCCAGCCGTGTACATCGACAGACCTCACATGATTATTTATGTGATCGCTACATTTCATAATACAGTTAAGGGCGAATTCTGAGCCGCATACGTTTCCATTACGCATATTGGGAACTTGCGCACTGGGTAGCTCAATGCTGTCCAATGTTTCAACAGATGAACGAGGGTCGTTGGATCCCTAAATCGACCTTCCCTAATCATCCCCCGTTCTCCGTTCTCCCGGTCATCTTGATTCATATGCAGATGAAAAATCGAAGTTCTTTGGTGTGCTCATGATTTCCATCAGGATAAAGAACGGAAATTCATTCATTTACAATGTTCCACTGTAACAAAAGCATTATCAGTACAAAGATGTAAACATAGCCTTTTCCGTATCTAATTCATTCTCTTCCGAACTATCTAATGGAGCCTCGACATTTTTGTTAATAAATAACAATACAACTTTTATCGACAAGGACTGAGCTCTTCACTCATTACGTCGAAGGTACAAAATTTCTGTAGATTTAACCACAAGCAGCCATCGCTCACAATGTTTTTCCATCAGCGGAAACGTGCTCAGTCTCTCCATGAAGAAATCAACGTGAATTTGTATAAGTTCTTTCCTGGCAGATTTTAAATTGTTGCCATTATGTTTGGTAGCCCGATGATTCAATTTCACGTTAAATTGAGTGCAAGTTAAAAGGTTTTTCAGAAACGATGAATTTACATCCGATTTAAGGAAATACCCATGCCATTTGCTTAAAGGGGACATAGGCCTACGAGGATTTTTTTCCTTTACACCTTTTGTGCCACTTTCTATTTCCGATGAGAAATATTTGAAATCTTAGGTTTGAAAGGTGACATGCGCCTTTTTATACATTACAGATTTCCGTTTTCCAGGCATCTGACAGGGCTGTGGTGATGTCATCGTGGAAAATACTTTCAGTTCAAACTTTTCCCTCCAACTATGCTCCTTGAAAATGCTGATAAGAAGGGCTTGCTCAGTGGCTCACTGCCATTTCATTTACACAATTCCATCAAAAAAGAAAATAACTAAGGCTAAATACTCAAATTCAGGCAACTTTTTGTGCTGGAAATTTGCCTGAGCATGAATCCGAAACAGGCAGCTATAAAATGCTATTTAAAAAACGTCGTTAAAATGAAGGGACCTGGAAGTGCATTTGAAGGACCGTATCTTAAAAATTACATCGTAAGTGGCCCTTTAATCAATGGCTGCGTGTATGCAATTAACCATTGTTGCGGGTTCGGCCGAGGATAATCAGTTGCCACACAGAAATGCACTCCTGTATCATTCACTTTCAAATAAATTCATCGTTCCCCGGGGCACAGAACTCGTATGACTGATCCAATCACTCACATGATTAACTTCTTCACTCTTGTAATATCCTTGGCAGCGCTAGTTGGCAGGTTTAATTTTTTGTACATCATATCAGGCAACATTTTTAGCAGTAGAGTACACTTATGTTGTAAATATTTGTCGAAGCCGAAAGCTGAAAACCAACAGGCAACTTGGCAATCTGACAACCGCTTCACATGTTGATGAGTGCTCGCCTTTCGCTTAAAAACACCAAAGGACAGAAAAAAATCTCATTCTTTAAAATGTTAAGTCTGCGTATGATCCGTAACTGATGAAGATTTAAATAGACGATTCACTGATTAACATTATTTCTCAACAGAAGCATATATCCATATGGAAAATTATAAACAGATAAATATCAATTTGAAATGGTTCCGTAGAGAAACGGAATAGGCCTACATGTATTTGTAATGAAGCATCTATATCACATGTAGGATTTTCGCAAACCAGTCAATTATTGGAACATATATTGGAACAGATTTGTTGTACAGTACCGGCGCAGTAAGTTTTCGTATAACCGGCGTTATCAGGCATTGACTTATGGGGAGATATTTGGAGTGTCGTTTGGACAGGAGGTTTGGAATATGCATGCCCTATTACGCAACAAGACTGTGCATCAGTCATTGTCGCTAAGGATGGCAGAATTTGAGATGTAAACATAGGCTATGGTATTTCGTACATGATTATCAGTTGTGGTGACCCGGTTGTTCAAGGAAAAAGCATCTGCCACGTAAATAATTCCATCATGTGTATAGTGTTGATGATAATTTTTTCTTCGCATTTGGTCGGCGCTTGCTCAGTATTCAGTCGATATCGGGGGCTTGAAACCACTGCAGGCATGATGATCGATCCCATTGGTCCTGGGGGTAATGATGAAAACGCAACGACCAATCAGAAGAGATTTTCCACATAGTCAAGTGTTACAAAAACCGATGCACCTTGCGAAATACCTCTGCCCTTGTTTGTTCTCTAGACAACTTCAGTGAGTTTACATGACTTTCTCAATATTTTGCATTGGTTCATTGTGGTGGTACGGTATTGTACGTGCCAAAGCCGTCAAGTCCAAAACGTGAAAAAAGTAAACATTTGCCTAAGGACAGCACTGAAACTTTCATCTTTATCCAACGTAATTCCAACTGTAGGTAAGTGTTTCTTGATAGTTAACGGTTTAAAATCATCCATAATGCTTCAACTGTGACAGACGTTTTTATTTTGCTTGATAACCTGCCTAGAATTGTAGGGAACAGGGGCTCAAAGATGAGTCCGCATCAAACATGATCCCTTCATGATTTTTCTTTCAAACGAAGTCATTACTTTGAAACTGTTGTCGAAGATATCAAAAAATAACACGTAATATTGAGGGCTCCTATTAATTGGTCATCTTTAACGTTCTTCTGCAATGTAAACGCTTCTTGTTTATCCTAGATTAAAACGTGAATTTCTTGGAGGGTGAAATGGCTGACACTAATTGCAGCGACGACAGTGCAGGAAACTGCACTTTGGCAGAGCCGACTGCGGTCGCCCCGTCGTATCCAGATTACACCGGCTGGCTCCAGTTCTCAATTACAACCCAGTTCTTGCTGATCTTCATCATCTTCTTCACTAACGCCACAGTTCTGGTCCTGGTGGCTCGATTTAGACGTCTTCAGGTTTTGGAGAACTCGTTCGTTGTAAGTCTTGCAGCGGCTGATGGATTGCTATCCGTTGCTATGATACCAGGAGTAGACATCACTCTTAATCCCAACCGAGCTGGTAATAAGTATGCTTGCCTCCTTCTCTGGTGTTCCATTATGTTCTCCTCCAGTGCCAGCGTCTTTTCGCTTCTTGTCCTCAGTCTAGACCGGTACCTCAAGATAGTGCATCCTATGCACCAGTTCATGACCCCTCTCAGGGCATGTGTGTTATTGGTGTTCATCTGGAGCTACACGTTTTTCACCGCATTCTTTCTGCCTTTCGTCGGCGTCAACGGCATCTCGGGTCCGTCCTTCGTGTGCTTCAATTTTAAAGATGTCTTCAACATTGCTCATCTCCAGTTCTACTGCATCGTGAACGGCCTCTTGCCTTTCCTGTTGATGTTTGTAATGTATGGCAAGATCTTCTTGGTGGTGTGGGAGAAACTCCAAGCGGAGCCTGAGCAGCGGCCGACCAGAGCCGAGACTGACGAGGGCGCCCGGGGAAAGGTGTGGCTCAGACGGGAGTTCCAAGTCACCAAGAAGCTCACCCTGGTGCTGGGCACGACCACTGCAGCCTGGGTGCCCACCACGTGCATGCTTCTCAGGCAGATATACGATCCGACCTACTACCCAACGTTCGAGACCAGGGTAATTTTGAGCACTATGACTTACATGAACAGCGCCGTCAACCCGTTAATCTACTCCTTACGAATCCAGCCGTTTCGCGACGTTTTGTCAAAGGTTTTCTGCAGACGGTGTCAAGGAGCCATCGCCATCCATCCATCTAGTGGTACGGCAACACATTCAGCTTGAACCACTCAACAAGCCTTCATACCATAACCTTCATCTCATCCGTAATAACCACGTCGTTTCGACCTGGTCTGTCCAGTTTATCTGTCCCACAAGCGGACCCTCTGTCGTGACATGGTGCGTTCGTTTGTACACATCCGCTTCGCACAATTGGGACATTTATTTTCAGCAAACAATCTTTTGATCTTTGAGAGAACTAAAATTACGTAAAATCTTTGTTGGGATTAAATTTTGGCGTCAATTTACCTAAGTACTAAAATAAATAAGGTCTATTTGCGGGAATATAGATTAAAATGTTAGATAAATATCAAAAACGTTGTTTTTGCACAGAACTTTCTTGTCACCTCACCTCATAAGTAAAAACCACATTGTGTTATACAATTTGCATTGCAGTGTGTTCTAATCCAACTGAAGTTGTTTTTTTTTTGGGGGGGGGGGTTTGCGCACGCTTGCGTGTGTTTTCCAGTTGGTTATTTCTGTTCGTTTGGGAACAAGATGCATGGCTTCGCCTTCTTCCTCTTGCGTCCGCCAACTGTCAACGCACAAGCTCCGATATGTAAGACAATATTCAGAACACCAAAGACTCTCACCCCAGCTTCCAAACCCATTATTAGCGATCACGGCAGTAAATGAGAAATTGCTATTTACTATGTACTTTTCAAAAAAATCCACATGTAATATCTAAAACAATCTGACACGAAGGAAGTTGTTGGTTCACATTAACTTCCTCTGTCGTGATGTCGTAACTGGAGCAGAGCATTGCACTATAGGCTGGAAATAGTACAGGTGCTGAATGAAACAGGTTACTGTTTTGTGGGAGGGTGTGGGTGTGTGTGGGGGGGCGGGCAATATAAGACGAAGCAGGCCTACAGAATATTTCAAACAACTGCCAATTTGTGTTAGATGTCTATCTGTAGGTGTACTTACGTCACTACGTGTATTTCATTGATAGTTTAGCTGTAATAGTTTCCGATGTTAATGCCTTTTTACGCCTGTGAAATTGTGCACAAGATGTATGCGCTATATCGATTTGGGAAGCAAAGATTTAGATTTCATGCACGATCGATCGATAGCGCTCAACGTAATGTACGAAATCTTCGTTCAAAATAATAAGTTCGTAAGTATTCCATCACGGTAAATGTAGAATTAGTGTTAACTGAAGAAACAGAAAGTTCACTGGATGATAGTGGATTCAAAAGAAAAACGGACTTTAAAAACAAACTTTAATGAAACTGCCTGTTCTTCTTTGGCAAGAAGCACAATGATGCAGCAAGGCTTTGGGCTTAGTTACGCTTTTTGAGCGTTGACGCATTCATTACTCGAAAGAATAACAGCAAAATCATTCATGGACGATTTTTCAGACATTAGAGCCCACTATAAACTTGTACATAGTAATGTCAACAAATATCTTCCAATGTGTGGTATGTCGAATGACCTAGTTATATTTTGGCCACACGCAGCGAACCTTGTATGGAGTTGCAAATAATTAACAAACATGATGTCTTATGTAGTATTCCCTGTCTGTGTTTTGAGTCAAGTAACACAAAACTCACACCCTAAATAAAAAAAATTGAAAATGAAAAAGCACAGTACCTAAAAAGAGGTCCGTGTAGACTGTATACATTAATCAAAGATAACTTTGGAATTTAAGGTAATATTTGTCTGACATTAATTAGTTGGCAGTTGTTCGAGCGAACTGTCAATTGTTTAGTGCGTTTGAGCGTAATAAGTTTCCCATTTGCGGAAGCGTAGAAGGACCAAAACCACGCAGAATTTTTGAGGATTCTATTTCCCCACGGCGAGATGGCGATTCCTTGCCGTGACTTATGGGAAAAAATTTTTGCCGTGGCACTTTTACGCTTCCATATGCGTTTGCCCGTAACCTGTAAAATTTTAGAATTAAAGTTGTAGTGGTGTTCACCTTATTGCACCATGTCAATAAATTACTACTCAAAGTAAACAATTTTAATTATATCTACTACATACACCTAGTAACATTACTGTTTTTTCCAACTTTATAGCAGTTTCAGCATGGATAAAATGGTACAAATCTGTACGTAATTACAGTAGTCCTAAAGATTTAAGTTAACCCGCCATGATTCCCACTTATAGTAAAGAAATAGCACTTCGAGAACACCACTTCACACAATTATTGTATTAATCCTTTGAATATACCCATAAAGGTTGCATCATTTTAACACCATAATACAAAAATCACAATGAATAAAAAGAATGAAAAGTTGATATTCAAATGCAGTCGACTGAAAGTCACGCTACAGAGTGGCCTTCGGAGCCCCTACGGTATCTGCAAAGAGTCGTACTTTTTTAATGCGGCAATCGCGCTCGCTTGATTTGTAAGTACCAGTGAATCTTTCACCATTCCACAGAAAGTCGTGACAGAAGGGGCTATAGTCACGTTTAGTGCATTCTACTGGTAACACTGCGATACCCGTGATATGGTAATTTCGACATTGTACATTATAGCCAGTGTCTTCAAGTATGTACAGTGATATTTTAAGGCATATTTTTCAAATGTGTCATCGATTATTGTTATTGTTCAAACTTTCCTTTACTACAGAAACCGTCATCGGTGGTGATCGCTGGGGGGGCATCCTGCATGCGCTTTAAAACGTTGCTTGACATATCCGCACCCCCCCCATCTATCGACGCTCCACTGAAATGTAAAATGACAATTGGATGTTCACGTGGGCGCTAATAAATGCACTTACATGTATATGTCCATCACCATATACGCTGTGTGCTTTGATAACGTCATTTTTCATGTCAAATGCAACAGCACTTAAACGAACAACATTGATGTGTTTGATAACTGCGCACTGTTAACGTGATAAAGCTTTTTATTCCTATCTGCGCTTGCTTTGTTCCCAGTGGACATTCATTTTAATGTAATATAAAACTGTTTATTCCTGTCTACGCTTGCTTTGTTCCCAGTGGACATTCATTTTAATGTAATATAAAACTGTTCATTCCTGTCTACACTTGCTTTGTTCCCAGTGGACATTCATTTTAATGTAATATAAACTGTGGCACTGTAAAAACGCGAAATCTCATCACTCCCATCTGCCAGCAATCTTGCTGTTTCTTGTGTCGTTGCTCAGTGTTTGTCTGCCGACATTTGTGATGACGTAATGTTTCTGCACTTTCGTCGTCCTTGGAGACACGGAGAAATTAGGAGACACGTACACGGCAAGAGACGACGTGGCTCGAATTGCTAATTGGTTAATATACAGATTTTTAATCGACTGTAGATATACGTAAAAATCTGCCGCGACTCGACTTTCCAAGTTCAAACTTGAAGGTACACAGGCTGTAAATTATGTGAAATATCGCTGCAAAACATCACAGAATAAAGTTATTATTTTGGTGAGACACTCATGTGGGCATGAAGTAGACTGGTCAATACAGTTGTTTTGCCCTACGATTTGCGCACTCTGATTTTGATGCTTTTATGTACTTATACACACTGTCGATTTTCATAGACAACCATTTAACGGAGATAAACCGAATTCACCATATGCACGCTTACTGACAGTTTGACTTCTTCCAACACTTTGAAAATCTTGGAGCCCATTAATCATTAGTCATTAGAGGCCACGCTGTATCTCAATTCCCTTCTGCAGATGTTTGTCGTGTAATGGCCGAAATGACAGGCAATTAAGTTCAGAACTCCTAGGGACAGCACAAGGCGTTTCTTGATATGTCAACACCGACTTGTTACAGGCTTCGTTAACATTTGTATAACAATTCTGGGAGGAGGCAGAGAGCTCAGTCGTCTGGAAATAATCGACGTTCTACTCCGCTGACAAAAGTTCCATCCATCCATTACATGATTACACATTGTTCACGCAACGGTACGGGTATCTTTCAGGAAAAGGTGGATCGCTGTGGCACGCCATTGATGGGGTCCGGGAAAATGACGCATGAGGATATTATCTAGAAATATAACTAGTTCTCGAGACCGGAAACTTTTTATGACGCGCAGCATCCACAAAAAATACCGTGCAATGGAACTATAGATCTAGCACGCAGGTAACCTGCTGTCTATGCTAATCAGTATTGTTTTACCTTGGGTCTGGTGATATAATTTGTCAGCGACTGCATCAACCAATCACCGATCGGTATTGAGCATTTATACAACACTGCTGTAATAAAACATGCTAGCGTTATCCTTCACACATCCAATTTTCTCAGCCCACATCACATCTTTAAAAATACATGAATGAAAAAAACATCTCGTTGTATTGTTGATGTTATTTTTTTCAAAGACTTTCCCGCTTTATGATGGCAATGATTACAGTAATGGGTTTCCAGATTTCAAGGTGAGGCACCGACTATTCGATAAAATATCGTATAGCTATCTTGATATTTTTTTCCAAGGATCCTATTTTATAACAATATATGATATTGACGAATGGGAAGAGCTACCAATATAGGGCTAGAGAGCTCAGTTAGTAGAGCACTGGTACGGTATTCCAGAGGTCGCAGGTTCAAATCCCGCTCCAGTCAATTAAAATTTTCTTTGTTCATTTTTATTAAAAGAAAATACTGTAATTCTTGATGAATAACCCGAAGAGCCAAACGGAATGAAACCCTGGGGTGCGATTGAAACTATTTCATAAAATAGTTATACAGGGCAGATCCACAACTTTTTCACGGGGGGGGGTCAGGCTGGAGATTTTTTTTAATGTCTCACTTTTGAGGACAAGCTGAAATGAAGATGAAACACCATACATGCCATACGTTGTTTACAATATAGCAGTGGTGCTTTTACCTTAGTAATTTTGTATTATTTTCCCCATTTTCCCCACCCCCCCTTTTCGACCCCTACCCCCTCCCCGTGCCTGATTTATCATGGTATTGAATTGCTTCATTCAAGGATTTCTATTACACGATGTAAAATAATAATACTATGGGAAAAATAACTGTAATGGATCTCCAGACTTCGTGGTGCAACTGTAATTGTTTGATGTATAATGTTATCACGGTTGTCTCCTCAAGGATTCTATTTGCAATGATAGGAAAAGATGGACTCTGCAGACAGGGTTTAAGTTCCAAATAGGAACTGAAAATGTTCAATGCATAATTGTAATTGTGCTCGCGAAAAATGAAATCCACTGCTCTTAATACGCCGTAATTGATGTACACCGTGAAACTGTATTGCATTTTTACAGCAGTAGGCACCAAGCACGTCACGTCCTTCAATAAATCATCTCAATTGGCCCGTTGTTTCCATTGTCAATCTTGGATTACTTTGTTATACTGAATTTTGTTTTTTCAAGCAGACGAGAGAAAGGACATGGGAGTCACCGTTTGAAGTCTCGTTCAATGACAGGTTTTGTCTTGGGCCCAGATTCGCAGACTACAAACCTGAGACATTGCTCGGCAAGTTTATGAGCGTAAGGCAAAAAAATCTGCTAGGTGCCGTGTTTCGTTTTGTTTACGCTGGACAAGTTGCGCCCCCTTCGTACAAAACTCGGTAGGCCTACTGATAATTCTTTCCATGCAACGAAATTGGTGTGCTTGGTTTTCAAGCGAAAAAGATCCCCAGCGATTGCTCGAAATGAGCGCAATTCACATTAAAATTTCAATAGGGATGAACCTTGGACAGTTCATGGAAGTTGTACGTAAATTGCAAGCCGTTGAGGAATCAGTTCTTCTGTGGAAAAAAAGGCCTCCTTAGCCCTGTGCATGCTTTGCCTGCAACTAATCTCTTTTTCTTGAATCTGTTACACGTATCTGCGTTTTCATTTATTTGAGCCCATCAGAAACGGTGCACATTTCTTTTTACCTCCGTTTTAAATCTTGAGCTGCTGCGGAAGGAAAAGCTTTGGGTCTATTTTTTTTTCTAAACATCGAGACAGAAATATTCAATACTGTACTCGAAACGTACTAATCGGGTATAAGCTTAGTTTGCACGAGATCCTGATAGTTCTAAGACTTTGATTTCGTTTGTCCAGAGCCTATTCTATTATAGCTAAACACAACTAAGTATACACGATACTCACCTCTCTTTTTCTACTCAACAGTCGTATTGTTTGCAGCGCCAAAGCATAATTCACAAGCCTCGCTCAGCAATCAAACACCAAATGCTACTTTTACTGACTAAAATAAATACAAATGCAAAAATGACCGAAGAAAACTTTGTGTTGAAGAGGACAATATTAAACCGTTTATCCCTAATTGTTGAAGCATTAACCCGGGGAAAAGAAGCCAGTATTGATCAAAACCAAATCAGATGGCTGTGACCGATTTTGTCTTTTGGTGGCTTCTGTCTATGAAGATATTTTGTGGATACTCGCACTCTGGGGTAACAAGACTTGAATAAAGTCTAAGGCCCTGAATGTGGAGGATTTACAGGGAAGTAAAGTCCGATATTTTCAACATGGGAAGCTTAAGCTTGGGGTTCCAGATCTTAAGATGACTTTCTGGCTGGGCCCATTTGGACTTCTATGGATTGTCAACTAAATAATCAAGTATTGTTAGCTATTCCCGTAATAATACACACAAAGTGGAAGGACGGTCGATCAGGCTTTATTCTCATGTTTGTTGGGTAGAGGTGCGCCGACAAGAAGTTGCCGCTAGAGGGCGACATGTACTGACAAGATTAGTATACACGACTCGCGATAGCGACAACGCCTAGCTGGCGCTCGATCGAGCCAGTACGCTGCGGACATATTGCTGGCTGAAAAAAAAAATAATAATTTGAAGGAAAAGAGAATCTAGCGATAGTCGTACCAGAAGGTAAGGAGATTATGGAAAGAACGTTGCATCAGATTAATTTCAAAGAACCATCACTGCCAACAAAAACACCCTTTTTCAGCCTTCAACGCTAAGCTGGCTAAGTATGATCTGATCCTCAAACTTCTGAAAATCAGCATGTTTTACATCATGATCATGTACATGCACCGTGTACATGTATAATGTAGGCCTGCATGTAGGCCTGTTACGCCCCAACTATAGCATCAGTCCCAACTATAGTTCGGCCCGTCCCAACTAGAATGCTACAGTTGGGCCGGCCCAACTACGGCAGAGAGGTCCTGTGTGTATGATGTGCCCAGCATGTGCCAAAGTCATTGTTTGCAAATGTCATGTCATTGGTCATACGGCTAAGTGCCACATTTTTGATGAATTGTGTCAAGTGTGAGACACATTGACTTGGATAATGTTGAGACATTTCCCACAGACATTGGTCAACAATAGTTGGGCCAGCCCAACTGCAGCACTACAGTTGGGACTGTCCCAACTATAGTTGGGACTTATGCTACAGTTGGGGCGTAACAGACCTATGCGAATTGAGTCGAGGTCGACTCGTACCTTAGACAACATGTACACTACCATGGACAACTCGTCATGACTCGTACCATACCATCAACTCGACATAACTGTACCAACTGCCGAGTCGCACCTTGGACAACACGTAGGCCTACCTCCAGTAAAGACAACTCGTACCTTCACAGGAATCAGAACTTGCTCAGAGCCTATTATTATTGTAATTAACTTGAACAATAATTTGTTTTGTTAGCCATGTGTTCGCCACCTAATTTGCAGTTTTGGCTTCACTGCCTTCCCTACAAGCTGGTGGGGATGACATTATTGTGAGATGTGTTTAAGTCATGCATGTGCTCGCATTGTCAGGCAAGTGGTGCTGGTCAACATGGCTGGCCGTCATTGCACACAATTGGGAATCTTCACCGTGCAGCCCACTGTGATGATGGAGTGATGTCATGTTTTCATTTACTTCAAAAGTTTCTAAAGTAATGTCAGTTGTAACTTGTCCAAGAAAAAAAAGAAGTTTGGTAAGGAAGGCAACCACCTTCCAAAGAAAAATTTAAATATGAGACCAGAAACATTTCCAATAGAAATCAAGACCTAACAAGTTTTATTAAGTGCACCCCCCAAAAAGTTACTTAACAAAGCCATCATTCCAGGCTTTAGAATTTAGTAAAGTCCGACCCCCCCCCCAAAAAAAAAGAATGAAGAAAGTCAAATTGGTAAATGGTCTGGATGTTCGACATCCGTCACATAAACCGACGGCACAAACGGCGCAGCAGGCACTTTTCCTTGATACATTTGTCAAATCTGATCCTAAACATGCTGAAAAGGAAAAGCAAGAAAGCTACGACTGAATCACAAACATGAAGGTACGAGTGGTCTTAATTCAAGGTAGGAGTTGTCCAAGGTACAAGTTGTCCAAGGTACGAGTTGCCCGTGGTACGAGTTGACTGGAAAGCTCGGTCCATATGTGCGATCGCTCTATCGTTGCGCTATCGAAGGATCACTTGGTACATGTATGTCGATGATTCTGCCATCAGCCAATCGCCTTTTGTTTCTATACAATACATATAACTGATTCTCATAGGCTAAAAAACCAAGCTTCATGTGTTCAGATCATTTTGTCCCTAAATCTTGCGTGTGAAGCATAATCAAATCAGTCAAAATGTTTTGTTCTAAAAAACATCAAAAAAGTTTGCGATGATTATTTTATTTATACAGGTGAATGTCAGAGTTGTAACAAGTCACTAATTTTTGTGACTCAAGTTGAGTCATTGTAGGCCTAATGTAGTCATTTGTCGAGTCAGGCAAAAAAATCAAGTCGAGTTGAGCATTGACATGTAGCTGAAGTCAATTTGAGTCACCAATACTTGAACACAATATGATAAATAAAAACAAGAGAGAAAGTCACTTTTTGGCATTTTTTAAATTCACTTCTTGGTGTCTACAAATGGTTACACCAAAGCTTACTCTTGGTCATGATAACACATGACATAAACATTAGAAACTGGCACTGTAAGTCATTGCAAATATTTCTCTTCAACAAATTTGCATTATTTTAGGCACTTTAGTCTCATTAGCGTTCACTCGATTTGGGTTTTCTGATGAGGCGAGTTGAATCATTCGCTCGCAGTGACTAGAGTCGAGTCATAATGCCATTTACATGTCAGGACTCAAAGTCAAGTTGCCAGAAATTGCCAGACTTGAGTTGAGTTGTTGACTCAAGTCATTACAGCTCTGGTGCACGTACATGTACATGGTCAAGATTTCCAAGTCCATTTTGTCAGTCTGAATTGTTCACATGACCCGAGAACTTTCACTGGATACAAGCATGTTAAGAAATTGTAGAATTTTATCAGAGAACCATTCTTGATCTCCCTGCACATTGCTAAAGCTATTTTACTAACTGGTTAAATGTAAAAACTCAGATCGAGATAAAGAGAGATCAGGTTAAGGATTACCATAATGTGAATCACTGTTTAAAGGGCCCATGAAAAATAGGTTATTCTCGTTATAATTGAAAATTGTCTCTTTTTAAACAATTTCCAGAATGTAAATGTTGTTTTGATTAATTAATGGAAGGAAAAAAAAGTGACATTTTTGCCAAAATGGCCCGCCCCCGAGAGTTATCTCATTAACATAGAAAAGTTGCATATTTGTGACGTACATTTGAGACAACATTGTTGCACGCCACTAGCGCATCAATGTTTGTCTTGAGTTCGGAAAATTCAGTCCAATTTTTGGGTGTTTTAGAGATCACACCGACCAGACGTGTTGCCGCAGGCTGTGTATCAAGATGGGACAAGCCTGCATAACTTTCCAACTGAAGCAAAATTTAGACGAATTTGGACATTGAAAGTCAGGCTTACCAGGTCAGGACCGACAACGAGCTCTCCAAACTGTGCAGTGCACATTTCTAACCACAGTGTTTGCTGTTTAACATGTACAACTTGTTTGGATGAATTTAAAAGATTGTTGAAGTCAGATGCCGCACCCATGATCTTTGGGAAATCAAAGAAAGCCCATAAACAAAGAAGGAGGGTAAGAAATGCTTCCAAAGCAGCCGAGGCTATTCCACTCAATGTACTCGTGTGTATGGGTTGTGGTGCTGCAGTTGCCCATACGGTAGCTGTACCACTTGGGCACATGCGTTTACCAAATGCGCAGGTATCATGTACATGGACATAATGTACATTTTAGGTTCAAGCATTCTGCTGGCAGATAAATTGTGTGAGTCTAATGTCTATGTTTGTCTTCGTTTCAGCCATACCAACAGGGTACCTGACTATAACTGTGGTTTCTCAAATGTACGTCACAAATAAACACCATCATTTATCAGGATTAAAATATTTATTTGAGGGGTTAGTAAAATCAACCACCACAAAGGGAATTTAATTCCATTGTTACATCCCCACTGTGTTATTGGCATACCAGTAAATATTTTAAACAGTTAACACTTTGTCAACAGAGGTCTTCATGGACCCTTCAAAGTGACATTCATACACATTTCAGAATATTTTCATTATGTTAATGTCCTAGCAGATAATAAACATCTGTTAATCTCCCTGTGATTTGGTTGTTCTTTTGCTTAACTAATTTTGCGATATGAACCCTTAATACATGTACTCCTCTGTTTGACTTTTTTGTTGTTTTTACGTTTTTCATGCAAATCTCCTAAATACTTCTCCTTTCTTTTTTGGCAAAACCTCTACCTCCCTGAGATGATTTTTCTTGTCATTTATTTTCTTGTCAGTTTAATTTCTTGTCATTTTAATTTCTTGTCAGTTTAATTTCTTGTCATTTTAATTTCTTGTCATTTTAACTTTTTGGCATGTTAATAATTTGTCATGTTAATTTCTTGTCACATTAATTTCTGCTGTTTTTTGTTCTCTTTCAACGGAGCCTGTTTCATTTGCCGCTAATCCCTCTCTGTTTGGTGGTTCAGTTCTCTGTCCTATACCTGTCCCTCCCAACTGCATGGCACCAGGAAAGCTCCGCCCACCCACCGACTTAACATGATTTCTGCTGATTCCAACCCGTACTGCTTACCATGGATTTTAGACGACACGGGTTCAAGTACCAGTTGGCCAGAATCAGCGAAGAGGACGAGGAGGCAGAAGAGGAGGGAACAGATGAAGGGACTGCCCTGATGGATGAGCAAGACGATAATGCCTTCAAGGATGAGGATGATCCAGGTCAGGCAGGAGTATCTTACATGGACGTTGTGTACATTTGTAGAGGAAGTTGTGAAATGTACATGTGCCTAACTGTATACATGCATGCGTGACTTAGACCCTGACTGAAGAAAAACATGCAAAAAATCAAAATCAAGCCAACTTTGCTCCTTCATGACATGGCAAAATTTGCTGATATTCCCCCAAATTTCTGTAGCTCTAGGTGTTCGAGCTCAGTTTAATGAATTTTATTTTTTTTGTGGTGGTCTTTTTGTTGTTGTTTTTGTTGTTTTTTCCTGACATAATGCACCTGTTGTTGAGCAAACGTGTGCAAAATCTTTGAAATGAACCACGGTTTAACTGTTCACTTTGCCCAGAAAATTGTAATTGCTGACTGCCAATTGAAACTTCAGAAGATATCAGTTTTGAGTTTTGCCCAGTCTCTCCTTTCCCTACACAACTCCAGCCAAAATGATTGATATTAGGTGCAAGCCAGCTAGTTAGCCAACCCTGGCAAACATGGTGAATTGAATTAAATTGAATTTATTTATTATCCTTTTTATTCAACATACATTGAAATACATTGAAATTTGATGTGGCCTTGTGAGCATTGTAAATCAGATGATATATAACAATTAAAGATAATTAACAGATAAATAATAGAAATAATAAACATAACAAATGACACTAAGAGCTTTTACACGTAATGCTCGAATTGTTCAAAAGCAAAAGCTGTCTTTTCATTTCACCTTTAATATGTACAGTTCTTTTCATCCACCTGAGCACCTCATTTACATGTACATGCAATTTGGCATAGCTTGGTTCAATTTGTTGGGCCTGTTCCGGGTTACAAGGAAGTATGAGGTACATGTACATGCATGGGAACATACGAGTATGTACACTCATACATGCACGTGTACTGTACCAATTTCCTGGTGCGTGTTGCACCATTGTTGCAACCACAGTCTGAAATTCTAAGGGTTGCTGCGGACTTGAATTTCCTGTGTGACATCTCTAGAGGAATTGTGCCTTCAGAAGCTCTGGCTGATAAATTGTGTGTGCTTTTTCCTCTGTTCATACATGCATGTGTATAGGTGCTAACGACAAAAATATGTCTTTGGCAGAGTCTGATGGTGTTGACGGCTCACCTTCCCCTCATAGTGATGGTGAGACTTCCCCTCATAGTGATGATGAAGCTTCCCCTCGCAGTGACAGTGAGACTGACCCAGAGGGAAATCCCACTGGTGAACTTGAGGTAATATTTTGTCCACGTTTGTGAAGCAAATTGTGAAAAGTGGATGTGCAGTGATATTGGGCCAAAATTTTGGCTAAACATTTGGCCTTAATCAGTATTGGTTTGGGTAAGTTTACAAGAAGTGAAAGTGCATGAGGTTAACAAAAAGGAGATTTAATTCGTTTTCAAAACTTTAATCTAACAACAAACTAATGATGTAACTAATAAACAGAGAACTTTCATTTCAGTGCAGTGTTTTGCATCGTATCGAGTTGGACAGTCAAAACAAACCTGAAACAAACTATATTCAACCTGAAACTAATCTAAACTACCCAAAGCTAACCAGGCCTGACAAAACTTATGAAAGGTAAACCAACCCGAATTGTCCACAAACTGAATGTGGCACCCTGGAAAGTCACAAATTATTCGTTTCCAATGAATTGAGGAGAGAGGCGATATTTCTTCTGTCGACAGCCCAAAATAAAGTCTGGAAATACAGTATCCATTGAACTCGTTTCCGTTACCCTGAATGGTTCCCTCACCCAGACTGATACCGCTGCTGTAAGCAGTGGCAACGTAGAGGACAAGCAAGCAGGGGGAGGTTGTAAGGAAGATGAAGGCATGGCTTCAAGGCCACCAGGATACCAAGATCCTCCATCATACGAGGAAACTATCAGGATGTCGGCCATCAAGGTGGAGGGTGAGACACCGAAACGGGTGAGCCGCTTATGGCCTATTGACTTTGTGTTTACCTAGTTGCAAGTAAATGGAGACGTGTACGGTTTTAGAGCCATTTGCTATTGTGCCTCAACACTCCTTGTGGCCAGGGGTGTGATGTCTCAGGATTTTTTGATTTCAGGATTGTGAGAGATTCAGGCATTCAGGTTGAGTCAATTTGTTACGCTATCGTGCAAAAAAAAAAACAACAAACATAATCACATCCACTTGGAGAGACATTTTGCTGTGGCAACTACTAAAAGCCTTGAAATGTCATGCTTCTTTCATTGTTGTTTTGTTACGATACCTGTACCGGATGGATTTTCTTTATACCCCCAATCTCACCCCTGGAGAGCACATTGGATTTTAAAGTATAGCTCATTGTACTTCACCTAAATGCTGCAATCCGCAGGGTTTGTCATAAAACTACCAAGTCCATCACAACTGAGATCTTCAACTCTAGCGTAGTTCAAATCTTATTTCTACTGTACATGTAAGTTGAAACACCTGTAAGTCTAAATCTCCTGTTGGCTTTCTGTTTGTTATGTATAGGACAGGGATGAGGATTTGGAATGGGATCAGGATGAATCTGTGGAGCCCAACGTCATCGTCAATCCTTTTAGTGATCTGAGGGATGGATCTCCCCAGGAGGACATTGAGCTTGGGGAAATGCCAGGTGAGTCTGCTTTGGGCTCATTTCATGTCAAGATTTGCATGCTGTAAATAGGTGTCATTGTATCTGGGCATTTGTGTCTGGTTGGCACCAACTGAGACCATCGAAAAGACAGATTTTTTTTTTCCTCAGTTGAAGTTCTGGTGCAGTAAAGTCTTGTGGGCATGTTTCTGGGGGTTCCTTTTTTTACGACTTACTTCAGTTGTTAAATTTCTATTTTCCACTTTTGAGGCCAGACTTGTGGTTTAAAAGTGAAATGTTGTTTTTCATACATCATCCTTACTGGGTGCACATTTAGTGAAGTCATGTCATCTGATTGTAGTCACACTACACTTGTAGGGTGTGTACTTGGTATCTCATGCATGCCTAGGCACTTTCTCTAACGTAATGAATTTTCCATGCAAGCTACATACTTTAGTGAAGCTCATTTTGTAAGGCAAATAAGAAAAAGGTTGCTAGTTTTGCCACCTTGCAACCCAATATTTAATTTTCCCAAGAACTGCATTTCTGAAGTTTATGAAATTTGTGTTACAATATCTGCAAGTTTACAGCAGATCTGATGACAGAGGAGAAAGATTACAAAACTAAAGCCCCCATCTTCTGGATGTTGTAGATTTATATTGCTGTTGTTAAAACGTTTTTTAACCCACAAAAAACAGCTAAAACAATAAAAATCAAGTGAAAGGCTTTACTCATAAAGACTTCCGCGTGGAATTTATTAAAGAGCAAGGGGCGTTGATATATGTACTCATTGTTTACTGGCATGTTGGTGATTTTGTTGTCAGGTCGCTCACCACGACTGACAGGAGCAACAGCCGAAGTTACTCCCAGTGGTGGTAAGATGCAAAAAAATTGACTGTCCAAAAAAACAGGTTTGTCCAAATATTAAGTTGTGAAAGTTGGAAACTTGTGGGAACACTGCAGTGTTGTAGCATTGTCCATCACAAGTCTTTTCAGACGTCCAGCCATGAGTCCTTTCTCAAGACCAGTCATGAGTATTAAAAACGGGGTGAATAATGATGAAGGGACAATTTTCTCCTGTAGTTCATTTGAACAGCTTCTGACTTGGCTTAAAACTGGATATTTAACTTATGAAACACTTGCATGAACTTGTAAGGAATTTGACGACAACACCGGAAAACTGGCTTTTTTTTAAATAGTCGGATGCACTTTGTAGAAGACACCCAGGATTGATCATCAAATCAGATAGGAAACAGCAAGTATTCTTTGGAATAAATTTATCAGCCTTTTCAACATTGTTTCCATTAATTATCAGCCCAAATGAAGCAACAGTGACTCTCCACCATAATCAAATGTAGTTGATCTTACGCCAAGATCATGAACTGTAATTATACACTTTGATCACTGTTTCTAGTTCCTCAGGAGTAATACTTGGCAAAGCTCCATTATTCTGAAGACTAGGTAGCTCCAATGTGAGTTCAGAGAACCTTCAGTTGGGAAAATTAAACAAATTTGAAAAAAGCTGATCTCTTTTTGCTGTGAAACCGTGATATACGTGCAAAACCATCAAGGGTTGTTTTCCCCTTTCCTAACAGAGCTGTGATTCTTAGAATTGGAACAAATTCCCCCAACCCCCCAAAAATATTTGAGTAACCAAGCTCTGAATGACCTTGCATCAGCGTTGCAATGCTACACTCCCGTGGAGAATTCGTATCAAAGTTTTCTTTTGAAATTTTATTGTCGGTTCTGAACAGAACCACGGCATCTGGATGAAATTGGAATTAGATTTCACGGTGTTGCCCAAGCCTGGTACATACACTCCCATGTCTTATTTTTTTGCCTTTGGTGTAGATTCCATCAAGCGTTTTGTTCAGCCGATGGAGATTGAAAGCCAGACAACCCAGAAGCCGTTCCACATTTGTTTCTCAGAAATGAACTCCCGCAGTCTTCTGATCATAATCTTTAGCATCCTCATTGCCATAGTAGCAGTGCTGATCGTCGTGCTTCTCCCCTTGGCCTTCTCATATGTGGAGTACTACGAGGTAAGGAACTATTCAAAGTTGGTGTAAGATTGTATGTTTGAAACGTACTTGTGAAATCATGGCCGACCTTTAAATTGTAAACAGCATTCAAAGTTAGGATATATACCAAGGCTTAAGTTGAATTGTCTTTTAAACTTTTTAACTGATGTTCCATCACTGTCATAATATTTCCAACATTTTTCAATTTTAGATCATATTGTGCCTGTCTTATAGTTTCATATAGTGTTAAGCAATGCACAGTAAGATGTGGTCCCATGATAAGGCAATTTTACCTGGATAGATTTCATACACACTGATCCATCAAAATGATTTTTTGTCTTGTAAATGCTCTGATCATATGAAGCCTCATGGTCTTGGGATGTTTTTCATGAAATTCAAGATAAGAATTCTGGCAATACAGAATCCCTACATGAGGCAAGGAAGGTTCCAAGGATTATCTCAAAATACTCCTCATGGTAACGTCTGAAAACTTCCTGTTTATCCGTGCATGCCCCATCTGCTTTGCAGAATAAGAATGAAATTCTTTCGAAACCACCGAGCCCGACCACCGTTGGGGTAAAAAAAATCTACTCCTGAAAGGAAACGCTCGGATTTTACTCCCGGTTTCGTTTACAGCTTGGCCTAAAGCAGCAGCGATCCACAGGTCAAGTCTTCTTCAACGATGGGGCCTTTGAGTCAGGCCGGCATGCCGTCGGACCAGACTACATCTTCAAGAAGTACCCTTCTTGGGCCACCAGTGTCCACCTGGACGACATCGCTGTCATCACCACGGCAGGATTGTCGCTCAGCTTCTCCTGCAGCTTCCAGTATTTCATCAGGTTTGTGCATGCTTGTGTGTGGTGTGGTCTCGTGCCCTGCCTGGCCCCTTGTTTTGGGGACAGTGTCTTTTGTTTGGAAATTCACCGCTCAAGACATGAATAGTCACCTACGGTGCCAGTGCACAGAGTCTGGCATGGTCAATCTTGGAATGAGAGTATTTTGGATTTGTTTTGTTAGCTGCACCCGTCCACCCAGATATAAATAGGTACTTACGATATGAAGACAGAGCTGGTTACTATTGAGCATGAATAAGCTGTTTGTGTCAAAGTGGCAGCTTTAAGCTGTGTACTCTTCATACACAGGGATAAACCAGCAGTGTCTTGAGTGTTAGTATTGGCAACTTTAGAGATAAGCATACGTGACTGGATCCATGCCATTTCTTGAAGCATTTTAGTTTACATCAGAAAGAACAAATTGAGATATTTGTTTCCATGGTTTTTTTGGCATCTTGATAAAAATGGACACTGGGTGACAAATGTTGAGGATTCCTTTAGAGTTATATTGTGCAAGATTCTTTTCAGTGTCTGTAAGTCAGTAGCAGCCATGCAGCTTGCGACTCATTTTTGGGGGTAAGGTTGAGTTGCGAAGTGTTTTTTTTTTCCAAACTAGCTGGCTAATTTCAGTGCGGATCTCATAGAAGCATAGGCAAGTGCAGCACAACATTCCTAAGGTCTTCCACTGTATATCTGTTGGATACTCAGAGAGGAAGAACTAGGCCTACTGGAGCAGCGATTTGACCAGGGATACCCCGAGGTGATCAAGTTTGTGGCTGAGGCAGCTCTCAAGAATGTGGCAGCTTCCATCAACTTATCCCTGTATCTGGAGCAGAGGAGACAAGTGGAGATCCTGTTTCATGATGCGCTTCGAGCCAAACTGGGTGGTAAGAGAAGAGAGTGTTAACTAAGAAAATTTCAAGGTCTGTTGGTAAGCTCTTCTGGCACTCATAAAAGTTGCTAACCAAAACGTTGACCTACCACAGTGATCACCTGTCTTCATAATGAGGTACTCTGACATCATTTGGTCGGAACCTACTTAGATTGAGCTTAATGCAATGCATTTCTACAGGCAACTGTTGTCCAGATCTTGAGGAGTGCCTGCGATACGACACCTGCCACCTGTGCAGCAACTCCGATGTCTGCAGTCGGGGCTACCACATCAACGTGCCTTTCTTCCAGCTCCTAGAGATCAATCTGCCCGACGTCATCCTGGACAGGAACCTGCAGGTGCAGCTGATGCATGAGGAGGCCGAAAAGGAGACCTTCCTGCAGCAGGAGCGTCTCACTAGGAAAAGGACAGAGGAACTGGTGCAAGGGATTCTGAATTCAGGTTAGGGGCTTGTATGTTTCATGGGGACCAGCAGCCGATTTCACGAAACTTCACCCAGTGACGTAACTCCACTTACGCCACATTTTATTGCACAAGTTGTGCAACAAATTAAAGTCGATTTCATGAAACTTACACACTGTGTAAGTCTGTGACTTATGCATCAAACTATTGTGTAACTTGAGCAGTCATTTTAAGTGACGTAAGTTGTGCCAAATGAAGCAAAAATGAACAATTTGACTTGCTTATCAGGTCCGGTTAAGCCTCATCATTGCTGAACTTATTAAGGATTATATGAGAAATGAACAACTTTGTTCCAGAAGGTAATAATAAACTTGTCTGGCTGTGAGAAAACTGCAAAACTTTTTTCCGGTTCCGACAAAGAAAAGACAAAAACTTTTTCAAAATGGCAGGCAGATGTGATTCAGCTACTGTTTGATGACATTTTTGTCCTCGTCCAAGAAATTTAATATTATTAAAACAATTTTTCGTGAAATCGAACGCAAGCGTATTGCGCAGCTACGGCAAAATAAATTTGTGGCTCAAGGCTTATGTATGGTTCTAAGTAACGCCATGTTTCATGGAATCGGCTACAGGATCTCAGTTTGTGATCCCGACACCTGTTCACTCCACCTGTTATGCAGGTTCTGGTGTCAGTGATCAGGACTCTCTTGAACCAAACAGGCCGGTAGGACTGTGGTAAATGGGGGTTGGGGAGAAGTAACAGGGCTAGCTCCCCCAAGATAAAGAGCCAAAGTTTTTGTCTTTGATTTGAAAACTTATGAAAGATGATTTTTTGGGTGTTTTGTTTCCATTCATTCCACAAACATGTCAAAATCCCCAAATTATATCCTCACTCCTCACGAAGGCCATAAACACTTCAACAAAATTTTGAATTGCCCCAAGACAGTTTTGGTACCCCCCGAAAATTGGTTTCTGGAACCGCCCCTCTTTAAGTCCAATTTAAGTCAGAATTGTTTGTGTCCCAGTTTGAATTAGATGTTTACATTGAAATGGTGGCATTATTAGTCTGGTATACACCGTCCTACAAATGCAAGTGCTAAAATAAACCAGTTATCTCTTCATTTCTCTGCGGTGAAAATTTGAAGTTCAAAGGCATTCAACTACAAATTTGCAGCATAAACATTTCTGTGATACCTTGAATAAAGTTCTTGTTCCCACCAAGTGTGAAATTCATCCTAAGCTGATTGACAGGCTCAGGGGAGGGTGGTGCGATTGTGGGATATGCATGGGGTGGAATTTGCTACCCAGTATTTTTCGCAATGATGCAGGCAGACCCTGGAATGGCCACACTGACAGGTATATGTGGTTGATAAAGCACATCATGAACCGTTGTGATCTTTTAAAGGTACACCCCTTTCTTTTTCCTTTCTGCTTCACAGCTTCGGAGGTAACCAATAACAGTACTTCACAGGCCAGTTTGATTCAATCCCTCGGCGAGGCAGAGGCGCGGGCCATAGTAGAAGGCTCTGTCAGCGGAGGTCTGACCTTGATGTACAACAGCATGAACGTGACCGTAGACCAGCACAAGGCCTCCCTTCATTGGCTGAGGACTCTGGAGAAACAAGATAGGCTGGTCATGGGGGTTAGCTTCCAGGAATACATGAAACTGATCAAAAACTGGACTGTCACTTAGGGTTTTTTTTGTGGGGGGGGGGTAATTATCAAGTGCCAGGTATGTAGATAGATTGCCAATGTGATCGGAAATACGATAGCCATTACTGAGGCCATCTTGGACTAATCTATAGCACATGCTGCACGATGTATATTTCAGTGTAAAAAGTATGATATTTCTGATGTATTTTCTTACACTTTGGACTTTCAGGTGAGAAATGAGAGATCTCCCATACAAAAAGATATTTATTTTATCAACTATCAAACTGCATCCAGGCCCAAACTAAAGTTGGCTGCTGGGGAAGCTTTCAAACGGCACTTTGGAAGGATGCCTCCAACCACCACAAATATGGTGAAAGAAAAAGGGTCAGGTTCCTCAGAGGGCCACTTTGAGTGAAATTATAACAGTACAGATTATGATAAATTAACACTATGAACTTGTATCACAGTTAACGAGTGAATAAAACTTAATTTGTCGTCTTATAAATAACATAATTGCCAAGTATTTCTTCCATTCTTGACATGGATCCTTTTGTTGTGCACTGGTTATGACAAGTATTTCTCACCCACTTTAAACGCAGATCACGCAAATGTACATTTTTGTAAATTTAGTTAACGTTTATACAAAATGGAATTTGCTGTTTTATTGAGCAAAAATAAAGTGAATGTGTCTTTTTTTGTAAACTTTGTAACTTGTTTAATGAACAGAATTCTTGTCTATGATCTTGTAAAATCCAACAATATCCAATTTCAAGCAAAGTCAGTTCATTTTGCCGATAAAAGTAAAATAAAAAAGGCCATTTTAGGTTATGGCGGTCAAAATAAGCAAGATACATCCCTAGCTGTTACAGAAATGTGTTGGATTGAGGAAAGCATCAACAGAAAATCTGGAGTGAGGTTTGAATGGATGGACAGGTTATGCACGGAAGCTATCCAGCCACATTAATCTGGATACAAGTCCTCTACAATGTGTTGGAATGTCCTTCCCAACTTCGTGACATGCCTTTACTGAGGTAACAGATTTAGCCAATTTCAGACACATGGCCAGAGTAGTAAACTGTGCTACTAGCTAATTTTGCTTGTAGCAATTCTGGTAGATAGGCTTGACGATGCTACGGGCTTCCTTGATGTTGAACAACCCAATAACAAAACTATCTGGCAGCACAATTAAAAAAGTGATACATGTAAGCACTGCTTAAGCTAATACGTTAAGTTTCGGTTTATGTTTACAAAATTCAGATCTACATTGCTTTGAAGTTAATACATTTGAGTACATTACACATCAGTACATCTACTTGTGTAGCAATACTATTTTAGTACAGGGGTGTTCAGAGACTTCAATATCCACCACACACTTGCCTATTATATACAAAAATGTACCTACTTTTGTGTTCCAACGTGCCATAATACTCAAAATTGCACAAGTATTAATTTAGTGTTATCCTTTGTTAAAGAATATAAAATGGGATAACTATGCTAACATCCTGACATGTTCATCAATTTTTTTCCCCTGAAAGTTTCAGTAATTTTAGTACTACAACACATTAACAAATTTGAAGCTTTCGTCCTGATTTATTACAAAAGCGGGTGGAGTGACGTAAATTGGGGGGGGGGGAATACTGCGGTAATGCCTGCCGCAGCCATTGTGGTAATAACATCTGACAAATCAGAGACCAGCAACTACATAAGTAGTAATTCTACCTGAGAAAGTCCAGTAAAACTCATTCAGTCCCCCCCCCTGAAGAAAATCTCAATCACAAGATACATGGTGGTTTAGACCATGGAGAAATAAAACATTTCTCCATGTTTAGACATAGGTGGTTTGGCACACAGTTGTGGGGTTCGTGTCTCACCTACGTATACCTCCAAATCAGTGCACCACTCAGTGACTCATAATTGGGTTTACTATACACCAGTAGAAATATGTAAAAAGGTTATCTATACAGGCATTATATACAACAAGAATTCTTCATTCTTCAAAAAGCCTTCAACTGCAAATCTCTCTGCCGAAAAACCTCCTGCGGACTCATTGAAGGCAACTATAAAATCCATCCTCATGAGGGGCACTTCAGCAGGTGTTGCATTCGTGAGCACCTGTGAAGGCTATCCAGTCGGGAAAAGTTCCCATGAAGACTAATTACAAAATATGGTCCTGGATCAGATAAACGTAGGTACCTACATGTGGATGGGGGGGGACACATATTTTGACCCCGACAATACACTGATGGTCTTTGACCTACGACCAAACACACTAAACTATTTACTCCTCAAAAAGTTGTGCAGAGCAAAGACCTTCAGATTATTCATGGCACTTTACCTCCAAATGAGAATTATATCTACAGCTCGTGGCGGACTGCTCATCAAAACATTTCGTGCCCATTTTCAGAATTTTTGTTCACTGTAAACTGACAAACATATTGGAAACTACATACAAAGTGAACCAGTTTGGGGAGCCAAAAGCATGATATCATTAAGTAATTGGATAAACCTGATTCCATTGAACACACATCCGAAAAGCCAAGAAGATAATTTCAAAAAAATCTGAAAGCTGTGTGCTCCCAATGAGCCAAATTGGTATTTCAGAAAAGCAAGGCCATTCGGGAGCATTTGTCATGCCAGCTTGAACATGTTCAGCATATGCAAGTCAGCTACAGCTGTGCTAATAGGGCCAATGACCTCTGGCATGCTCTGATAGAATACCTAAGTGGCTCACTAGGTGCAGGGCCCAATAAGCCACTTGCAAGTCAAATTTGAATAAAATTTGGTACACTATGTTATCTGATTGCATAGAAATGTAACAATTCGAATTCCCCAGACTAAAGACACTGTTGATATACCTCGTGATTCGGGGCAAGCTTTCGCATAGCGAC